GACCCGGCCCAACCGGAGGACCGCCAGGGCTACGCGCCCTCGACCGGCCACACCACCAGTCGCACCGCCAGCCGCTCCGCCAGCCGGCCCCCCGCCGGATCTGCCAACGCTAACCGGAATACCGCCGCCACCAGCCAAGACACCGCCGCCACCGGCCGAGACACCACCACCAGCGTGGACGCCACCGCCGCCTTACACCGGGCTCCCCGACCGACCGCGCAGCCCGGCAGCCGCCGCCGCAATCCCCGCCGGGCTCCGACACACCGGCATCCGACGCCGCACCATAAAGTTAAGGCGCTAGCGTTAAGTAGATGTAAGCTTTGGATATGTACATAGCTCAGTTTTTGGTTTTCTCTTCCCTTGTTCGTTTTAGGATATAAGTTGTAGTTGTAAGTTTTGGGGGTGCGCCCCCCGCCCCCCCCCCCCCCCCCCCCACAACACCGTCACCAGCCTCCGCCGGGGATCCCTCCCCTTCGAGGGTTTCGTAGCCTAGGAAGGGAGGGGGAGAGTGTAAGCAGTACGAGGCCTCGACACCGCGGGCCCCGCCAGCGCGCGCTAATGCCGGCGCCACCGACAGGTGGCGACCGTGCGCACCGCGAACTCGCGAGGCAGCCGGCCTCGCGAGCATACATATACCGGGCCGCGAAGCGATGAAGCCAGATCGACACTCGGATGCGAATCTTCGGATAAGCGATAAAGAGGCGATCAACTTCATTTTTGGGCTCCTATTGTTCCTCCAGCAGCGTTCGTCAGGACGGGTTGTGTCTACGGCCGTCCGACGATACAGACCGTTGTATCCTTGGCCACTGCCGAGAGTCCTCTCGGCGGCTTCCCGACCGACGCACAGTGGTTCGAATGGCTGATTTAGGTGGACAAAAATCATTTTCAAATTAATAAAAACTAATTGTTTTTATGTAATCTAGAATAACCATAGATTAAAATTCTAATATTGTTAGACCTTCCAGCCTTTTCGTAAATGTGTACAGACTAGGCAATGTACTATGTAAGAGCGGACCACTCATCGCTAGTCAATCGAGCGCATTTCCATGGTCGACTGGAATATGTTATAAGTTTGTTAAAATGCACTTAAGTTGCATGTTGATGATGAATGTAGCAGCTGAAAGGGTATATTTCAGTTTTAATCACCCAAAATCATCAATACCTTTCTTGTATTTTTGTAAATCGATCTTCGAATTAGGTTATTATTTCGTATGAAAAATTTTCATAATGTAACGATTCGTCAGTGTAGTAGTATATGTCCACTTCGTTTCACGCGATGAAAGTTGTACCAATGAAAAGTAGAGATTGTCTGCTTTATTCTAATACCATACTCGACTTGCAAAAATTTGCAAAAGTATGCTAAATGTTAAAATGAAGTTAACGCTGTCGCCCGTGACATATATTGGTGCAACCGATACGCTCGTCAGTTAGTGGTCTTTTTTTTATAATTCACAGTTTCGTTGTTTTTAATTGTGGTTATTATTATCCTGTTTTTTCTCTTGTGCTTATTTACCGTTATTGTTATTGTTGTTATCGCATTATTATCCCTGCGAGGATCCTTATAAATGCCATCTGCATCGTTTTCGCCACAGCGCGGTACCTGTCATAAAGTAATTCAGAATTTCTACGTTTGTAAATGAATTCACTATCCTAAAAAATTCTAAGCTGCCCTGTAAATTAGTTTATGAAACCATAGACTGCGGCACATTGCCTTTCTTCTGCAAATGCTTTGTGACGAGTACCCATGTCTTTTATTCTTGGGTTAGCGTCAATGTTGGATACAGATGTAAGTGACATGCAAAGAGTTGTTAGTACTGCTGCTGATGAAGATGAACAATCAGAATCAACTGAATGTTCTTCGGGTGCTAATGACTCAAGTAGCGAGTAAGTTTACTTTATATACTTTAAATAGTCATTATTATGTATTATTAAGCATTAAATATTTATTGATTATTATGTATTTTCATATCTACATTTTTTTTATCTCATAGCTACAGTGCAATACCGTAATTTTATTTTTTTTCCTTTAATTAGTCATATTTTTATGTAACACATGTTTATACTGAAATAATAACTTACAACACAAAACAGGATTATTTTCTAAGGATAAGAATCCCAAATAAGCCTAAAAGCATGAAAAAATATTTTTGTCCAGCTAGCACCCTAGTGTTCGAACCACTCTGCGACGGCCCGGACGTATACGTGTCTACGGCGGTAACGGAGCACGGTCTTCTTACTGCCTGGGTAAGGACGGGTTGTGTCTACGGCCGTCCGCCCATAAAGGCATCTAACCGCCGCTCCCGCTCATCCTACTACCTCCGCCGTTTTCCGTACCGCACCGAAACGTCACGCTAAGGACGGCCAACTTCCCGTCCTTACCCAGGCAGTAAGAAGACCGTGCTCCGGTGGACGCCGTAGACACGTATACGTCTGGGCCGGCGCACAGTGGTCCCAAATCGCAAAATCATGGCCAAAATATGAAGGTGTTTTTCAATTTAAATGAAAATTCGTACCTAGGGGTTTTCGAGGTCGGTGATTACAAATCAAAAATCAAAATTGTAAAGAACAAAATGGTGGATCCTATATAGTGAGCTTGTGTACGAAAAAAATGTTATAATCGGCTGAAACTTGCTGTATAGGAGTATTTAGTGTTATAGATCACAAATCATAAGTAAAAGTTATAAAAAACAAAATGGCGAATCCAATATGGGCGATGTGTATATTGAAAAATTGAATGTCCTTCTCGAAAATGAATATAATGGTGTTTTTGAATCGCTAAATCAGGATCAAATCGCCAAATATTCTAAATAAACACCAAAAATTATAAAATTGTAAAAATCTAAAATTATAAAATTGTAGTTTTTGAATAGTCGATCCAAAATGGTAACCCGTGATGGAATTATGTGGCATTTGTAAATGAAAATAGTTCAGTCACAAGTTATATTGCATTTCTTAAATTAAATATTTACAGTAATAAATAAAAAATGTAACAACCATACATACAGTAACGCGCCTACCCTGCATTATAAAAAATAGCCGTGCGATCCGGGTGGCACTTAGTGGCAGCTAATTTTTGCAAAAACTGTAAGATGAAAGTATCAACTACAAGCCTGGACAAGAATTTTAGCGTAATATTGCGTAATATGCAACTTTTAGTCTACATCTTGAACATTCGCGCGTGAAGTTTTACCTTTTATTATTTGTAATACATTTCCCTATTATACAGCGTTATCGTTAACTATTATAAATATACTAGTACTAATAAACTATCTACTTACTTCCAGGAACAGCATCTATTTTGCAGAATTGAAATTAATATAGTCTGTTTGAAATTATTCACTTTTCACTTTGCTCTTGCACACTTCCTGCACTTCACTGCACGAAAACTACGTGACGAATGAACGCGGTAATTGAACGCTTACCATTTTCCAGGTATAAGTAATAAAACCTTTACTCCTTGGTTTTCCTGTAGACTCACTATTAGAGTGTACAACCCAGCTATTAAAATAGTCCCAACTAAAAATTCATTTTCGAGGTTTTGGCCAGGATTTTGCGATTTGGGACCACTGTGCGCCGGTCCCCGCTGGTGGGGTGGTGAGGTCTACGGTCGGCGGGGTGGCAGGACTCCCCGTGGATGGAGGTCGTCCATCGGCGGGGCAGGACGGGCTCCCGCTGTTCTTCGTCGCTGTCACAGTATTTATGGCCTAGCCCGTCAATAAATTTCTCCCCGTCACCGATGAAGTTATAGTGGGTTTCTTCTTTGGCGCAGTCTTGGTTCTGGCAGCCACAGTGGTCCGGGAGTTGGTTGAGGAAGTAGCATTAGCGGCGCACGTAAGCGCGCCTCCACACGTGGTTGTCCCTGCCGCTTCCAAAGGGGACGGAGAGGGCCTCTGGGTCGTCTCGGCTGGCGCCACGTCTGATTCGGATCTCTTCTTGGCTGAATCACTCTCAGCCGGGCGTGCACTACCACTGTCATCATTATTGCTGCTGCTGCTACTACTTGTGTTGGCCGACGGCCGCGCCCCGGCGGCGCGAGGCACTGCACTACTTTTGTGTGAGTCTGCGTGGTGTTTCCTCACTTTCTTCAGTGCATAGACACTGTCGTCCGTGGAGGAGCACACCCCGCAGATCCACTTCCACATCCAGTTGGACGTCATCCCCACTTTGCAGAAGTGGCAGGGTAATGTCTCGGGGAAGGGAAACATTATTACTACATCATTTCCCCTGGTAGTGCAGCTCGGCTGAGGTCTCGTCGTAGAATTCATGATAAATAAATAGATAATAAATAAAATAAAATGAATAAATAAATATATAATAAATAAAATAAAATGAATAAATAAATATATAAGATTATTATTTATTATTATTATTTATTATTATTATTTGGTAGAGGCTAACCGAGCACTCAGTCCTTGGGGACCATTGTACCCGGGCCGCTAGGCAGCCTCCTTACTGGCTGTGCCTTGGCAGTTGGGCTTCTATTGGGAAATTTAGAAGCGCCGGTACCAGGCCAGCCGAAGTATTTAATGATGACGGTTCCGAGGTCCCCAGGATTGATCCTCCTAGGGCCATTAGTTCCCTACATCTTAGAACTGCGTGGAGGGGTGTCTCATCATCCTCCTCACACCTCGGGCATGTCGACTCCTCTGTGAGTCCCATGCGTGCGAGGTGTTTTCTCGTATACCAGTGTCCTGTCACTAGGCCCACGAGAATGCGCAACTGCACCCAGTCCAAGTGAGTTAAGGTGTCATCCAGCTTCTGTCACGGTCCCTCAAGTAAGGCCCTCGTGTGTCTCATATCGTTATCGTTTTGCCAGAGTCTGGTGAATTCTTGGTTCATCCATTCTTTAGCCAGGCCCTTCAGCGCATAGGTCGAGTCATCAATAGGGTACTCATGGTATGGCTGGGAGCTTGTCGCCCCCAGTCGCGCCAATTTGTTAGCCCTCTCGTTGCCTGAGATACCAGCGTGACCTGGTACCTATATCAGCTTGACTCTGTTATTCAGAGATAGCCTAGAGTCAGTGCACAGTCCCTGACTAGCTTCGACCCAATCTCCACTTTGTGGAGGGCTCTAAGCGCAGCAAGGCTGTCACTGCAGATATAAATGTGTTTGCCTGAGTGAGCCCTTTCCAAATTATATTTGGCGCAGGCCCAGATGGCAAATATCTCTGCTTGGAGGACCGTAACATGGTGGCCCAGCTTGTGGGTCAATTCGACCCTTGGGCTCTCCACCGCAATCCCGGCTCCGGTGCCAGATCCGGTCTTCGAGCCGTCTGTGAACCAGACCAGCCCCCCCGGAGTCAGAATGCCGTTTGCGTCCTCCAGCCATTTCTCCCTGTCTGGAAGGATTAAATCGTATTCTCGTCTGAAGAGGTACTCCGTCTTGCAGCGGTCTCCACCGTGGGTTAGAATTAACTCCGAACCCAGATCCCTGAGGATCTCGGTGTGCCCACCGCTCGCTGGGGACCATTTTTCAGCTTGATGGAGGCGGATGGCCGCTCTCCAAGCCGTTGCCATCACTATTAGATGGGGTGGCTTGATATCGAGCAGCGCTCCCATTGCCATAGTGGGCGTGGTGGGGAGCGCACCTGTTATCTCCAGCAATGCTATACGGTATATTCTTTCTGTAGTCCTTCTGTGTGCTCCCCTCTTCATAGAGGTCCACCACATAATCGAGGCGTATGTTATGATGGGTTCAAGGATGGCCTGGGATATCCACCTGACCATCCTTGGTTTGAGTCCCCATGTAGGGCCAAACATTCTGCGGCAGGCCCAGTAGGTGCTGATTGCTTTCTGGGTCTGCCTGTTCACATGGTTCTTTCAGGTGAGTTTTTTATCTAGTATTACACCTAGATATCTTACCTCATCTGTGAGTTGTAGTTGCGTCCCAAAAAGGTGAGGAGCCTTAAAGTAAAAGCGTCGTCTCTTTGTGAATAGGACCAACTCCGTTTTGCTCGGGTTAACCGAGAGCGAGTGTGATCGACACCAAATTCTACGAGTATGATAGTCATTTGCAATCTCCTCGCTATATCCAACGGGTGTCTGCCTCTGACCGTAATAGAAAGGTCGTCGACGTAGCTCTGAACCTCAAAGCCTTCCGTGGTGAGTATACGTACGAGGTCATCAACCACGAGGGTCCACAGCAGGGGGAATAGGACTCCTCCCTGCGGGCAGCCCCTCGCGACGTCGGCCCTCACCGTCTCCTCTCCCAGGCTTGCTGTGGCTGTTCTATTCGTCAGCATGTTGTGGATCCATCGGAGTCCTTAATATTGTATCTCCTCGCGGCTTCCTGTATAGCATCGTGAGGGGTGTTATCAAACGGCCCCTCGATGTTGAGGAAGATGCAGAGAGCGGATCACCGTTCGACAGCGCACCTTCAATGAAACCTACCAGTTTATGAAGTGCCGTCTCGGTGGATTTGCCGTTTTGAGGCGTGTTGGGAGGGGTGCAGCGGTTTGCTGACCAAGACCTCGTCTCTGATGTACCTATCAACCAGCCTCTCCAGCGTTTTAAGCATGAAAGAGGTGAGGCTGATGGGTCTGTATGACTTGGCAAGGTCGTAATTGTCCCTCCCTGGTATCGGGATGAACACTACCTTGGAATATCTCCAGGATTTGAAGATCTGGCCCAGGCGCCTGTACAGGTCCTCTCCGCCCTCCTGAAGGAGTGCCGGGAAGATCCCGTCAGTGCCTGGGCTCTTGAATCTTTTGAAGGAGCCGATGGCCCACTTCACACGTATTTATCACCTTCTCAGCTACTCCCCAGTCCGCTGGAGCGTGGTCGGTGTGGGCGGTATCGCTACAACGCCGCTCCCGACCGTCCTCTACTGATTGTGAGCCTGGGAAATGTGTCTGGATAAGGTGTTCTAGGGTTTCTCTATGGTTGTTCGTCAGACTTCCATTTGAGAGTCTGAGGCGATCCAACCTTGGTGAGGGGCCTATGGAGAAGACCTTCCTTAGCCTGGCAACTATGGGAAGCGCCTTCGGTTTCTTTGCAGAAGGTCTTCCAGGCCATCCTCTTGCTGGTTCTTATCAGTTTTTTGTAAGCTTGCTGGATCCTTTTGTAGTTGTCCAGACTGGCTCCGTATTGGTCTTCATGGCTTTATTCAGTAGTCTGCGGGTGTCCTTCCTGGCTTGGTCCAATTTCTTGTTCCACCAGGGGACCCTTTTGCCACTGTTTCTGATTCTGGCCGGGCAGACAGCCTCATAGGCTTGAGTGATGGCGGAGCTCAGATGCTCCACCGCTTGCTCAATTTCGCCTACGGTCCTGGGACGCTGACAGTACCCCTTTAGGCTCTCTTCCAGGCCCCCTCTGTAGAATGCCCAGATGGTGGCCTTAGGGGTGTCCCACTTGGACGTCGACCGATTGGTCGCGTCCCGATTGGACGCGTGTCTTTAGGACACCGTGCCGATTGGACGCGTTCCTTTTGGAGGCCGGACCGACTGGACGCGTTCCTTTTGAATGCCGTTCCGTTTGGACGCGGTGCCGTTTGGATTCGTGCCATTTGGACGCCACATGTTTTAAAATCGTTGCTTTTAAGAGTCGGCAGATGGTGGTATTGTTCGTCGATTCAAATTCCTATGCTATTTCAATGCGTATGCATGCTGAACTATGTTATTACATACATGGTCAAAAATATTAAATTTGGAAGTGATTTAATATGTATGTGGCGTTTTTATCGAAAGTATGTGATTACACATGTGATCAAAGATATTAAATTTCGAAGTGAATTTAATGTATATGTGAAATTTTTATTTAGTCTTGTGCGCAACATTTTTATACGTTTTAACAAAATAGTGTGAAAAACGAGATGTCCAATTTTTGGCAATCCGACTTAGCACGGTGTGTAGCAAAACTTGTTTCATAAAACAACTAAGATTAGTAAATTATATATTTCGTTTGACAGGTATAGGTTAGAGTAGAGGAATATTTACAAAGTGGTCACTAAGATACCAGGGGATTATTCATCCACGTATTGTATGTAATAGGACAAAAGATACAATAATAGTGTCTAATTATGCAAATGTACTAGTTTGTTTTGTTTCATTAGTAGTGTATAAGTATCTGCCAATGCGGCATGACATGTGTACGAGTTTCGCACTTCAAACTCAGCCGAATAGATCTCGGTCGTTAACCCGGGTCGACAATCTCGTTGTAATCTAATGAGTAAATGTAATCGCTGTTGCGCTGTCTAATCACCGATCCGAGCGCCGCGAGTATTAAAACTCCGAATTTGAACCGTTACGGTATTAATGCGAAAGCAATTCAGAGTGAACGATTATCAAGCGACAACAGCGACCAACGACCAAGACTTTCTTTTTCGAGTTTCGAGTATTTTCAATTTAAATTCAGTGCTTTGCACCGCGAATTCAATGAATCGCAATTCTCAATTAAAACACAATTGTAATTCGCGTAGTGTTTAATTCCGACTCATTGTGTACAAAATACAATTAATACACAATTAGTGACCACGCAGCTGTGCCGTTCTTCTTTTCCTCGACGCCCACGTCTTTGAAAAGACGAAATCCACGGCATTCCAAAAAATCCAACACTCGCCGAGAACAACATGGTACGTAGCATTCTCATTGCAAAGTAATATCTATCTATTTACCGCAGTAAGAGGAGCATATAGTACAGTTTTATTAATAAATAATTAAGTTCCAGCCAAAATCAAATGTTGGATATGTTTAACATTATTTGGTATTTATTTAACATTATAGTTTTGTGTATTAAAGGTATATTACTATTGCTGTCAAATCTATTCACATCTACTATTTCCAGAGCCTCTAATTGATTTGAGCGGCTCTCATCACCTTAATTGGATGAAACGGAAGAACAATACGCTTGTCTTATAACTAAGGTCAAATAGTTATTTGTAACATTTGACAGGTATAGGTTAGAGTGAATGTTGCGGCAAGAAGGCGGCACAGCGGGCCATTTACCTTTCCTAATCCACGACGAAGCCCCCCCCCCCCCCCCCCCGACAATGTATCGAACGACGTTAGAGTGACCTCACCGTGCTCGCGTTATGTTATATCTCCAGCTGATCAGGCGCGACCAAATTAGAATAGATTAGTTCTAAGCAGCGAGCGACTAAGAAAACATAAAGCGACCTCAAGTAAAATACTGTTCTCGACAATATGCAAAATTGAATAATTTCTTCACTGCATCTATTTAATACTTCTACTCCATAATATCTCTGTTGCAATTTTCCCCTATATGTCTGATCAAACGCTGAAAATAAAGGAAAAGAAATCACATGTATTCATATAGTATATTCAACAACTGTAATTTGAAATAAACAATATATTAGAGACAATAAAATTTAATGTTTTTTTACCTTAATCATATTTCCTGATATATCCTGCGAGAAAGTAATTGCATCTGTTTTCAGGGTACGTTTCTCTTATTTGTCCTATAATTTTATTCCACACTGTTTAATTTCTTTAATGGATTTATTCAACTTTTCTACTGCATAACTTTTTGTTGTAATTTCCTCATCAATGTCTGAATGAATGCTGAAAATAAAGAAAATGAAATCATATTATTATATATTGATACATTGTACCCAACAACATTAATTTGGAATAAAGAATGTATTGAAGAAAATATGGTTCAATATTTCTTTTACCTTAAACATATTTCCAGATATATCCTGCAAGACAGTAATTGCATCTGTTTTCAGAATACATCTTTGTTATTTGTCCCAATACTTCATTCCACATTGTTCAATTTCTTTAATGTATCTATTCAACTTTTCCACTCGATAATTTTTTGGTTGTAATTTCCGCATCAATGTCTGAATAAATGCTGAAAATAAAGAAAAAGAAATCGTACTATTATATATTCATACATTGTACTCAACAACATTAATTTGAAATAAAGAATGTATTGAAGAAAATATGGTTTAATATTTCTTTTACCTTAAACATACTTCCAGATATATCTTGTAAGAAAGTAACTGCATTCAATTCCCACATGTTTTTCACTATAACCTATACCTGTTGTCACGTCCGGAAAATGTTTACGAATTTGTCCGCCTCACGTTCCCTTATCAAGCCTTCGGGTTATTAGAGTCTCCTCATGTAAGGGGCGTGGGGAGGGCGAATTACTACTTCATCTTTCTTTTATTTCTCCTTGACTCTGTGCTCTGTAAGAGACTTCTTCAAGTGGAAAATGCACAGGGAAGAGTTTGAGTTTATAATTATTCTACTTTGTCTTTTCCATCCTTTCATTTCTCTTCATATTTCTCAATTCTTTTCTTCAGTTAATACCCCTCCTTGAAACTATCGTCGTGCTCAACTGCGTAGTAACAGAAACTCGAGATAGAAAAACTCGGTACGACCGAGGGGAAGTATCATAAACAGCGTTCGCTGCGCGGTTAGCCAGTGCTTCGCATTGTAGGGGTCCCCTCAGGCTAACTGCGCAAAAGCGTAAAGATTAATTTATTTCTGGAATTATAACCGATACTCTCCTCTTTTTCACGCGTGGGCGCCAGTTGGTCCCTAAACCGATCGTGTGCATGAATTGAATGCTGGAATGAGAACGCGAGATAATCTAGCGCGTTGAATATTTGTATGAACGCGAGAGCGAGGAATGAGAAGCCTTACAAGCAAACGTTAGCAAGCGTTCGAGGACTGTTTAGAGGCGAAGGGTCGTACGGGGCAATAAAAGTCTTTGTATCGAATTCCGAGAATTTGCCTGAAGCTGAAAACCTAACGGTAATTTTCGAATGGCGAGAACGTTCTCGAACCAACTAC